GGGGGGGGGGGGGAGGACTTTAAATCATCCGTTCATGGGAGTTTCAAAACTGCCACATAAAACTTGTCCTTTTTCTCTACAGGTGTCGGTCTACCGATCGTTAGACCGATCGTTAGACCGATCGGTAAACCGATCGGTTCATCCGACCTGTTTGCGCTATCGATCTCCGCTTCATGTACGATCGGAACAGATCGGAATGGAAAATTGGAGCGATTTCATTCCTACGCCGGAATTCCTCAAGTCAGAAATCGGAATTCCGATCGAGAGAAATTTTCCAGCTGGGAAAAATAGTTCAAATGAACAAAAAAATAGTTCAAATGAACACAAAAATATATATAGTGCAAATGGACATAAAAATAGTTCAAATGATATTTTGATTGAAAAAAATAGTTCAATAGTTTAAATGAAGAAAAAAATAGTTCAAATGAAAAAGTTCAAATGTCGACAAAAAATAGTTCAAATGAAATACAGTTCAAATGAAACAAAAAATAGTTCAAATGAAATAGTTCAAATGAACCAAAAAATATTTCAATTGAAAATGACAAAAAATAGTTGAAATTTGAACAAAAAATAGTTCAAATGGGAAAAAATAGTTCAAATGGACAAAAAAAATAGTTGAAATGAACAAAACAATAGCTTCACAATATTGATAAAAAAAGTAAGACGTAAAGATAGTTCAAACATGACAAAAAAATAGTTCAAATGAACACAAAAATTATAATAGTGGATCAGCTGAAGTAATTTATAGGGGAGGGGCCATGGGGGCCTGCAGGCCCGTGGGAGGAGGACGTGCTGAACTCGAACCTTCTCGAGTGTGCCACGCTTAATTAAAAGCATGATTTATAAAGGGGGATGACATTTGTAGATCGAGATTAAATCCTAGCCGCAGTGCTCGGCCCAGAAAGTGTCATAACTTAACCTAACCCGTGGCCGCAGCGCTCGGCCCCCTAGCCTGTCCATAGCCGCAGCGCTCAGCCCAGAAAGTATCTTAACCTAACCTAACCCTAAATAAATACTGATTTGTTTGAAAATTATTGAAAAAGTGGCCATGTCAAAAAGTAAAATCTGCAGTGATGGTCTTCCCCGCCTCCCACACTCGAAGGTTGGAGTTCATGTCTGCCTGGGAGAATTGAGGATAAAGGGGTCGAGTAATATCACGTCGGTCGAGTAGAACTCTTTATATGTTTTTTAACTATTTTATTTGAAATTGTTGTTTGTTTATTTTTCATGAACTATTTTTTTTCCTAATTTGAACTATTTTTTTCTCATTTGAACTATTTTTTCTAATTTGAACTATGTTTTCATTTAAACTTTATTTAAATTCATTTGAATTAAACTATTTTTTTTCATTTGAACATATTTTTATGTTCATTTGAACTATTTTTTTGTTCATTTGAACGACTTTTATGTTCATTTGAAGTATATTTTTTTGTTAATTTAAACTATTCTTATGTTTATTTAAAATATTTCTGTGTAAAATTGTTATCTAACTGATTATTTCTTGTTCATTTTAACTATTATGTCATTTTCCTTGGAAATATTTTTTTCTCATTTGTACTAATTTTTGTTCATTTGCAGAACTATTTGTTTTCTCATTTAAACTATATTCATTTGAACTATTTTTTTTCATATAAACTATATTTTAAGTTCATTTCAACTTTTTTTTCCATTTGAACTATTTCATTTGGACTATTTTTATGTTCATTTGAACTATTTTTATCTTCATTTGAACTATATTTTTATGTTCATTTAAACTATTTTATGTTCATTTGAACTATTTTTATGTTCATTTGAACTATTTTGTTTGTTAATTTAAACTATTTTTTATGTTTATTTGAAACATTTCTGTGTAATTGATCTAATTAATTGTCATGAACTAACTTCTTGCGAATTATAAAAAAAAATTTAAAAACTGAATTGCGGTAGAAAAATAGTTTAAATGAGCAAAAAATGTGTTGATTTGAACTACAGGATTTGACATCATTTCAGTAGTTCAAATGAACAATAGTTCAAACGAACAATAGTTCAAACGAGAATCCACCCGAATGTTAGGTGTCAGGAGAGGAAAACATTAGGTTAAAGCTCATCAGGAAGGTTTAAAGGATAAGGGAGATAAATATGAAGTTTTAAGAATTATGAGGAAAAGTATGAAGGGTTTGAAAATAAAAAGAGAATAAGAATTGGTTTAATTGGTTTGATTGGTGTGTTAGTGGAGTTAGTGTTAATAAATCAAGGGTGTGATAATTTAAAACATGAGTATGAAGGGGTTTAAGAATATATGAAGAATAGTTAGGAGTTTTAAAGAATAAGGAGGATAAGTAGGAAGAGTTTAAGAATACGGAGGATAGGTTGGAAGAGTTAAAGAATAAGGAGGATAAGTAGGAAGGGTTTAAGGATAAAGATGATGAGTAGGAAGGGTTAAAGAATAAGGAGGATAATTAGGAAGGGTTAAAGAATAAGGAGGATAAGTAGGAAGAGTTTAAGAATAAGGAGTATAAGTAGGAAGAGTTTAAGAATAAGGAGGATAAGTAGGAAGAGTTTAAGAATAAGGAGGATTAGTAGGAAGGGTTAAAGAATAAGATAGGTAGGAAGAGTTTAAGAATAAGGAGGATAAGTAGGAAGAGTTTAAGAATAAAGAGAATAAGTAGGAAGGGTTTCAGGATAAGAAGAATAAGTAGGAACTAGAAAGGGTTTAATGACAAGAGGGATCAGTAGGAAGGGTTTAAGAATAAGGAGAAGGAAGGATTATAAGGAAAACGAAAAAATGAAGGATAAGCCAAGAAAAAGACGGAGTGGGTTTAGAATTAAGAGGAAAGGTATGGTTAAAGACATGGAAAAGACGGAATGGGGTTTGAACAAGAGGAAAGGGTTGATGAGGAAAAGAATTGAATAGAAAGAAGAGTTGAAGACATGAAAACGAAGGGATGGGTTAAGAATTAAGAGAGGAAGGAATGGTTGAGGATCAGGAAAAGACGGAATGGGTTTAGAATTCGGAAGAAAAGGATCAATCATGAAGAAAATACGGAATGGGTTTAGAATTAAAAATAAAGGGTTAAGGATGAAGAAAATACGGAATGGGTTTAGAATTAAAAATGAAGTGTCAAGAATGAAGAAAATACGGAATGAGTTTAGAATTAAAAATGAAGGGTTAAGAATGAAGAAAATACGGAATGGATTTAGAATTAAAAATGAAGGGTTAATGAGGAAGAAAATACGGATTGAGTTTAGAATTAAAAATGGAGGGTTAATGATGAAGAAAATACGGAACGAGTTTAGAATCAAAAATGAAGGGTTAAAGAGGAAGAAAATACGGATTGAGTTTAGAATTAAAAATGAAGGGTTAATGATGAAGAAAATACGGAATAGGTTTAGAATTAAAAATGAAGGGTTAATGATGAAGAAAATACGGAATGGACTTAGAATTAGAAGAAGTAAGGGTTAATGATGAAGAAAATACGGATCGAGTTTAGAATTAAAAATGAAGGGTTAATGATGAAGAAAATACGGAATGAGTTTAGAATCAAAAATGAAGGGTTATTGAGGAAGAAAATTCGGAATGGGTTTTAAATTAAAAATGAAGGGTTAAGGATGAAGAAAATGCGGAATGGGTTTAGAATTAAAAATGAAGGGTTAAGGATGAAGAAAATGCGGAATGGGTTAAGAATGAAGAAATCACGGAATGGGTTTAGAATTAGAAGGAAGGGTTATAAACGGACAAGTTTAAAATTAACTTCCTATGTTCCCCATTTTAAATTTTCAACATGAAGATTTTTCTTGTCTGGTCAAACTTGGACACAAGAATAACTACCGGTTTAGAGTAAATATGTTCGTTAAAACTTCATATTTTTAATATTGTAAAAATCCAAAATTTATTAAAACGAACCAAATAAAGGAACTAGATAATTTACATCCTTAGTTAAATCCTTTTTTACTCATTCATGGTTTTCTATCATCTCTACGATTCTTATTTAAAGTCAAAAATAGCTTTCTTTGCACCTTGAAACGTGACAGAATAAAATATAATTCTGACCGAATATATATTATTGTAGATGTGTTATTTAAAAATATGAGTAATTAACAAGTTGTCTAAGAAGGAATTGAATTAGGCGTAAAATCCAGGAATTATGAATTAACTAGCAAACAATCTTTTTAATGGTTTAATATGTTTAGACAGAAAACATTTATCTAGACATTCAGAAAAAAAATCGGAATAAAAAAAGAAAAGGTTTGTTTTGAGTTTGTTATTTTTTGTACAGGTATTTATCAACATTGAACAAGAGTTACTCAATACAGCACAAACTTGGGGAAGATTGCTTGAAGGTAGATTTGAGTCCGAAATGAGAGATATAAATTTAGTACGGCCTGCTCCTTCCACGCCCTCTTCCACGTCCTCCGCCTCGGACCTTTCCGCCGGCTGGGGGACCTCCGCCATATCCTCCATATCCGCCGTATGCAGCTCCGTATCCATATGGATCACCATAACCGCCATATCCTCCGTACATACCATAGGGATCTCCATAACCACCGCCGTATCCGCCCCCATAACCGCCTCGCATACCTCCTCGTCCGCCATCCTTGGGTGTTACTCTCTTAATCTCAACTTCGAATCCGTTGATGCTAGCTGTTCCTTCCTTCACCAACTGCTTAGCAACATCCTCCTTCTCAAATGTGACGAAAGCAAAGTTCTTGGGAGTATCATTGTTGGTTTTGTCCACGGGTCGGACAATCTCAGAGACGGTTCCGTGTTGGGCGAAGAAATCCTTTACTTCATCGGTGGTCAGACCTTCTGAGGGAAGTTTTCCTACGTAGATTTTACCCTGCCGGGCTTCAGCTTTCTTACAGGTAACTTTCTTGCCCTGGAAAATATAAATATTATCAAATCAAATCACAAGGGCCGGGGATGGCAATGGGCTCCAGTAATGGATTGGAGGATCAAGTCCTTTCCGTGTCCTGGTTTCAGTCTGGACTTCTTACTATTTTTAAAACATCCCATCAACATTTGTTTGTGAAGTGAGAAGTTCCTTGCCACACGACCTAGATTAAGTCATGCCTCACTTTTGGACCGACGTCATACAAAATTTACCCTGTAACCGGGCAAAAATTGCATGACAAGAGGTTTCCCCAGCGAGTATTTTGTTTCAAATGTATATTTTGAATTAGATAAAACTAGTGAGCACATTGTATAAAACTTGTTGGCTTAATTAAATTTGCACTTCATGCCAGTCATTGAAACTAGATTAAACATTCTTTAATTTGCTGGTGAATTAAATGTATGTTCTAGTAAGAAGAGTAACAAGTCCAGTCTAGAAGCAAGAATAGTTGAATCGGGAAATTATGGTAATAAAGACAATCTGAGATGAAATGCGAGATCTATTTCAAAATATCTTATCTTACAAAATTAAATATTTGANAGAATAGCTGCAGACTAAATTATCTTCTTCAAACTTTTTACCTTGATAACATGTGATTCGTCGGCGCTGGCTGCGATCAAACTAGCTGGGTCCTTGAACACTACAAATGCAAACCCTCGAGATCTTCCCGTCTGTGGATCTGTCTTCAGGTTGACGTTCTCGATCTCTCCGAAGGAACCAAAGTACTCCTTGATATCTGTATCCTTGGCCTCTTGTGGGAGTCCTCCGACAAACAGTTTACGCTCATCCTCTGGTGCCAGGGGAGTCTCGGAAACTTCGGGGGTCTCAGTAGCTTCGGTCAAATCAGCCATTCTGCAATCTCCTGAAAAAAGTAAAATAAAATTTTTTTTCGCGAATTTACTTGAAGAAAATTCAAAAACTGAACTCTCAATGCCAAGTTACTGCAAGATTCCACAATCTACAAAACCTAAAAGGACTTAAGGTCTGAAATTGCTGCGAAAGATGCCGATTGCGGCATGAAGTGCTTTTGCTGATACAATACTACTTTGCAGTTGTCAATATTTAGCACTTTTACCATCTTACCCTTAACTTCTTGTCTCACGTCTGGCACTTCTCTCGTCTCCATTGCTCCAGCGAGGAAATCCGCGTGGAGTTAAAAAAGTTGGTAAGTGCGATTTTGCTAATTTACAAATAAATACATTGCAGGGAAAGGTTTGCAAATAATTAAAGAAGAAATGAAAGTTTGCTAAAACTCCGTTCTCCATGTCTGCGCCACCAGCTGCAACAAACCAAAGTTAGCGACATAATCCTTACAAATAAAGACTAAATATCTGTCAAAAAAGCTAATTTGCCAGTTGCTCGATATCAGTGAAGAAATAAGTATCATCAGTTGCTTTCAATATTCCTGAAATGACTTGAAAAACTTGTGACTTGTTAAATCTGCTTACTGCTGTACTTACAATTTATCTAGAACTGAAAATCAAAGTAATATAAACATGCTGGAGTTAAAAGATACATTATAGTATGACAAACATGTTAATAAATTTTAGAAAACAATAAATAAACAATGAAATACCTCAAAATAAGTAAATAACAACGGAAAATGCGGGAGTTGGTTTCCAAGTACCTATTTTCAAGATGGCGATGTGAAAATGCGGGGAGGTAAGGAAGCCGGGGGCGGGGCCCTGCCTTGCCCGTGTTAGGTCTACAGGGTTTCCAAATTTATTAATTTATACTTTTACACCTATTTTCAAGATGGCGATGTGAAAATGCGGGGAGGTAAGGAAGCCGGGGGCGGGGCCCTGCCTTGCCCGTGTTTGGTCTACAGGGTTTCCAAATTTATTAATTTATACTTTTACACTTATTTTAAAAATTTTATGACGAATAACAAGATTATTGATTTGAGAAAAAAAATTTTTTTTTAATTTTTAACCCTGGTCGAAAAAAATACCGTAATGTAGTTCCTATTGGCTTAAAAACAGTCACGTGACCCAGAATAGCTAAAAGCCGGCATAATGGTTCGTCCGCGCATGCTCAGGAATCGGTGTAAGGAAAACTTTCCTTTTTAGTTTAGATACAATTATTGATTTGTATTGTATAAGGTTTGGTACACGGTTTAAGCAATAAACTTCAAGTAACAAGAATGGCAGAATATTTAGGGGCCGGGATGAGGGGGAAGGGGGTGGAACAGCATCTTAGGATAATTAACATTCAGGAACCCTTAATTTAATTAAATCCCATGAGTAACGATCCTATCATGAAGATGCATCATGTATCTTGGCGTCCCTGGAGTTAGGACGAATAAATGTAAAAGAATGTGTTCAAGAATATAGGATCCGTTCTGGAGTAAGATTGACTTCAAGAGCAAGCTGTTACATCCTAGGAGTAAGGTAAGATTCTGGAGTAAGGAGATACAGGGTGTCCCACGAAAAATGACAGTTAGAGAATAGTTTAAAATGTCCGCTTCCATAATTTGTTAAGTTGTTTGATACTAAAGACATAATAAGATTTTGTATATGACAGATATATTATTGTAAAATTGATTTCAAAGTAAAATATCTCATAAACATTTTTTTAAAGAAATAAACTGCAAAAAGTCTTTAATATCTAATACAGTATGTGGAGGAAGAAATTCAAAACTATTCATCAACTGTTATGTTTCGTGGGACACCCTGTATATTGAAGTAAGGATAAATCCCGGAGTAAAGATAGATCCTGGAGTAAAGATAGATCCTGGAGTATAAAAGATAGATCCTGGAGTAAAGACCGATTCTGGAGTAAGGATAGATCTAGAAGTAAAGAAAGATCCCAGAGTAAAGAAAGATCCTAGAGTAAAGATAGATCCTGGAGTAAAGGTATATCCTGGAGTAAGGATAAACCCCGGAGTATAGATAGATCCTGGAGTAAGAATAAATCCTGGAGTAAAGATAGATCCCGGAGTAGAGATAAATCCTATAGTAAGAATAAATACTAAAGTACGGATAAAACCTGGAATAAAGATAGATCCTGGTCTAATAATGTATTCAAGATTAAGGATGAATCCTGGAAGTATAAGGATACATCCTAGAGTTAGGATGCGTTTCCTGGAGTAAGTATGTATCCTGGAGTAAGGATGTATACTGGAGTAAGGATGTATCCTGGGGTAAGGATTATCTTGGATGGAAGTATCCTGGAGTAAGGATGAATCCTAGAGAAAGGAAATATCCTTGAGTAAGGAATTATCCTAGAGTAAGTATGTATCCTGGACGGAGGATGTATCCTGGAGTGAGGATGTATCCTGGAGGGAGGATGTATCCTGGAGTATGGATGTATCCTGAAGTAAAGATGTATCCTGAAATAAGGATGTATTCTGGAGTAAGAATGTATCTAGTATCCCTCAGTAAGGATATATACTGAAACATGGATGTAACCATGAGTTAGGATGTATTCTGGAGTAAGGATGTATCCTGGAGTAAGGATGTGTCCTGGAGTAAGGATGTGTCCTGAAGTAAGGATGATTCCTGTAGTAAGAATGTATCCTGGAGAAAGGATGTATCCTGGAGAAGTACCCCGTAATAAGGATATATACTGGATGGATGTATCCGGGAGTGGTACCCTGGAGTAAGGATATATACTGGAGTAAGGATTTATCCTGGAGAAATGAAATATCCTTGAGTAAGGAAATATCCCTGAGTAAGGATGTATCCTGGACAGAGGATGTATCCTGGAGTAATGATGTATCTGGGAGTAAGGATGTGTCGTTGATAAAGTATGTATCCTGGAGTAAGGATGTTTCCTGGAGTAAGGATGTATCCTGGAGTAAGGATGTATGCTGGAGTAAGGATGTATCCTGGAGTAAGGATGTATCCTAGAGTAAGGATGTATCCTGGAGTAAGGATGTATGGATCCTAGAGTAAGGATGTATCCTGGAGTAAGGATGTGTCGTTGATAAAGTATGTATCCTGGAGAAAGGATGTTTCCTGAAGTAAGGATGTATCCTGGAGTAAGGGTGTATCCTGGAGTAAGGATGTATGTATCCTGAAGTAAGGATGTATCGTTGATAAAGTATGTATCCTGAAGTAAGGATGTATCCTGGAGTAAGGATGTGTCGTTGATAAAGTATGTATTCTGGAGTAGGATTCTGATGTATCTTTGACTACTTCTGGATTTATCCGTGTTCATATTCAAGTCTTCTCCAGGATAAATACTTATCTCAGGATTACATTCTTACTTTATTGATGAGCAGTCTTAATTTATGGATTCATCATTTCTAAAGAATTTATTATAACTTAGAATTAAACATTCTTACTCCATGGTATGTGAATCCTAGATTTCTTCTTGAATTCATTATTTCTCTTGGATTTAACTTCACTCTGAGAAACACTTAATCCAGTATACGTTGCTACTCCAGGAATAGTCCTCACTCCAAGATATATCCTTACTCCAGGAATAGGATACGTTCATACTCCAGGATACATCCTTACTCCAGGATACGTTCATATTCAAGGATACATCCTTACTCCAGGATACGTTCATATTCAAGGATACATCCTTACTCCAGTATACGTTGCTTCTCCAGGAATAGTCCTTACTCCAAGATATATCAATTACTCCAGGAATAGGTCACGTTCAAACTCAGGTACATCATTACACCAGGATACGTTCATACTCCAGAATACGTTCATCAAATCAAATCAGACTCTCAGGGTGTCCTCCTTCAACTCCCCAAACTTGAAATGAATAATACTAAATCATGCCTGGAGAAGTCTCATAGCTTGTAGACAGTATGGTTCTATATTTGCCTTGATTTTGGTACGTTCATACTCCAGGAATAGTACTCACTTAAGATTCTACAGTCAGGACTCTCAGGACTCGTGCATGGTAATTTTACGTTTCTCAGAACTCAGAAGATAATCAATGAATAAAATTCATCGTCAAATACATTTTAGGAACATAATGTCGTCTTCATTTTCTAAAGACTATAATTATTTTTTTAATATTTTATAAGTTAATTTATTACTAGCTTGGGAACCCAGCATTGCATGGAAACTTTCTCTATAAAAGTTTAGAAACACTACTTAGAATTGTAGATGTAGAACCAAGACAAGAACATTCCCGTGGTTCTACCAAGTTCCCCGTTCAAAATTTGAGGCAAATCGGTCTTGGGGTTGATGAGTTATAATTGGACATCCAATCAAACAGACAAACGGAGATGACTATCTTCTATTTTAATATCAATAGTTAGGAAATGAGAAAATCTGTGAAAATCTTTTTTGCTTTAGTTTGCTTTTGCTATAAATTGCTAACCCAAATAAAATCTTTTATTTTTATTAAGACAGTCTTTGCCACAAATTCTGATTTCAAATCCCTATATCTTTGCAACCAAATGTCGTAGACCTTAAATATTTTTAACAATGAAATCTCTGAGATCAAATAATCTATGAAGTTAGAAATGTCAAAGGTTTACACCATCAGGTTTTAAAGATATTGGTATTTGAAAGTCAGAGCTTGAGGCAAAAACTTGTCTGCCAATTAAAAAATGAGAAAATTATTTAAAAATCCCTTTCAGGGAATGTTTAAGCGCTAGCAAATGTATTGCACACAGATTGGAGTGACATGGAGAAACAAATCCAGTATGATTCTTCAAACGAATGGATTTGCAGTTCATTAAAATCCTAAGAATCACTCTACCTCATAGAAAATGGACGCTCACCTCCCACATTTCAGATTTAAAATTTATTTCTTCAAAAATTAAATTTGCTCCGAGCAATTTATTTTACAACATGACAGGACGAAGAATGTATAACGATAAATTGTACAAATTCATGTATAAATATAGATATTATTGAAAGCAGGTTTACTTGATTGAATTAATACTTATAGATTCTCACTAAGGGTGGTTATTTCTGGGATAATTGGTTCATCAAAGAACCTTTATTCTTTTACAATCCGTGGACGGATGGTTTAAGGACGGATTAAGGTCTAAAGAGCGGATGGAGGATTCCAGGACGGATCTCTAAGGACGAATGGAGGATATTTTAGGATGAATTAAAGAACATTGATAAATGCTTAACTCCGCTTAAACCTTGGTTAAGCTTAGTAAACTATCAACCATCGTGAAAACAAACCTTAGGTTCCAGGTTAGATAATCCCTAAATGGGAACCGGTTTTTGGGGATCCAATTGGCGGATTTTGCATGTTGTACTATACTCCCACCCCTGTTAAATGCATAGTACAGATTTCCTTATAGTTAATAAATATTTCCAGTTTATCACAATTCTGTGGTGATAACAGTCTTTAAAAGTGGAATCTTGGATTTGTCCATTTTTTTGTTCATGATCATATTGTCTTTAACAAGCCAAGGAGATATCTCCTCAAGGCTTGTGTCCCCCTGGAGGTTGTTGGAGTTGTTGTTAATGATGTTGGAGTTGTGACCGTTCGCCAGGTTCTCAGAGTTATACTTGTTGTTCAGCGTGTTTCTGTTGTTCAGAATACTCGTTTTTGATAAACTCGTCGCTGAAAATAGAGAAATTCATTGATTTTTTATGTTATTTAAAAATGCGCGGGACTTAATCAAAATGGCGGTCATTTATTTTCTTGTTACCTAGAACTGGAAGACGACTGCTCGATATTCCAGGTTTGGTTCCAACACTGGAAAGAGATCTTGTCACAGGTTGGCTGCTGGCAAATGTTGTCTCCTAAAAAGTCACCTAATGTCAATATTTCCTTTACTCCATCTGTGAGGCTTATTTTATTAAAGATACAAACTTAAACAAAATTAAGAAAATTCTATCAGAAAATTAAAAACATATTTAATGATTCTATGAAAGTAACGTCTTTAGAAAAAGTTAAAAAATGTGTTTTTGCTGTAAATTGTGTATTTAAAAATTTGACAATTTGTAGATAAAAAAAATATCCACCAATATATGCACATTAAACTATTTTTACCATTTTTGATTATAAATGTTGTGTCAAATCCCACATTGAATATATACATGTTTTAAAATAAATTTAGTAATCTGCACTGTACAACCACTACAACAGAGATTATGTACACTGTACAGTACAATTTACTTACTATTTTATTAAGAGTGGAAGTGCTGGATCCGTTATCGGAGACAGGATCAAGAGATGCCTCCGGAGAAGTCCCAGGTGAAGTAGACATCGGAGAACCTGAAGTCAGTTCTCCATTTCCATGGTGTTGAGCGTCCAACCGATCCAAAAACGGATTTTTGCTCTTGTTCGAATATGTAAAGGGGTTGGAACGACCGATGGTGGCAAACTTCTGACCGTTGTTCTCGTCATTGGTGGTTGTGTTGATAAATGGGTTCGTGAACGGGTTTGAGGTCGGGTTCATCATGGATATGGTGTCGGAGAACAAGGTTTCCTTCTGCAGTCCTGCTACTCCGTTCTCGGAAAAGTGTGTAATACTGACCGGGAGCTGGGACGGGTTCAGGGGAGCGGAGAGGTTGGAGAGAGGGGTCATTGGGGAGGTCAGGGTTGAAATGGGAGTAAGAGCTGAACTGAGAGTGGAGCTGAACGTGAAGTTGTTAACTCCAGATCCAAGAGATGAGATTGGAGCAATGGGAGTTGTAAGTGTGGAGAGAAGCTCCAGGTTGGAGGGTTGAGTGGAGATGGGAATGACCGACTCCAGGTCCATCAGGTTAGTGTTTCCGGATCCCAAGCTCAGGGTTAACTTGTCACCACCCTACACAATAAAGACATTCACAGAAAACCAAAACCATTGACAAATACAATCAAATATAATCAATTTATTAAAATAGAAAGAAACTAAAAAACCATTGACAAATACAATCAAATATAATCAATTTATTAAAATAGAAAGAAACTAAAATTGACTATATTTCAAGCAAAAAAAACACACACATAACACAGATAACAATGATTAAAGGAACCTACCACTGAAACAAATGTAGCGCTAGACTTGTCCGAAATTTCTTTGGATGGTGAATCACCGTTGGAGAGATTCAAATTCTTCCTCGGACTGAAATATAAAAAAACATGAATAAAACCCTTTCTGATAATTTATGTGATAGATAGATGGATAAAGAAACCACTGCATTGAGATAAAGAAAGATGGTTATAGAAACCACTGCATTGACATAAAAGAAAGATGGTTATAGAAACCACTGCATTGAGATAAAGAAAGATGGTTATAGAAAACACTGCATTGACATAAAGAAAGATGGTTATAGAAACCACTGCATTGAGATAAAGAAAGATGGTTATAGAAACCACTGCATTGAGATAAAGAAAGATGGTTATAGAAACCAATGCATTGAGATAAAGAAGGATGGTTATAGAAACCACTACATTGAGATAAAGAAGGATGGTTATAGAAACCACTGCATTGAGATAAAGAAAGATGGTTATAGAAACCACTGCATTGAGATAAAGAAAGATGGTTATAGAAACCACTGCATTGAGATAAAGAAAGATGGTTATAGAAACCACTGAATTGAGATAAAGAAAGATGGTTATAGAAACCATTGCATTAAGATAAAGAAGGATGGTTATAGAAATCACTGCATTGAGATGAAGAAGGATGGTTATTGAAACCACTGCATTGAGATAAAGAAAGATGGTTATAGAATAGAAACCACTGCTTTGAGATAAAGAAAGATGGTTATAGAAACCACTGCAATGAGATAAAAAAGATGGTTATAGAAACCACTGCATTGAGATAAAGAAAGATGGATATAGAAACCACTGCATTGAGATAAAGAAAATAAGAATGATGCATTGTAGAAGATTTCACTGACAGGATGAACGATAAATGATATATAATGGCTCCCTGCTATTTAACTAGTATAAAAAACCCTGGCGTGATCAATGTAGCACCCGGAGAATCAAGATAAACTGACCTTATCACATTCTCCGCCGAGGAACTGAGCTCTGCATTCTTAAACTCCGCCTTAATCTCCTCTTCTGCCTTTGCTTTTAGTAGATTATTCTTATAAGAATCCACCGGCAAAGGTTTGGCCGGCTGGGTTGGAATCTGATTATTTGGAACGGACGATTTTGTCTCAGATTCATCCATCTTGATATTTAGAAGAGTTTCCAACCTTGTCTCATCATCTGTGGTTCCAGCTCTTGAAGTGTTGGGTAAAGATTTAACTGCTCTCGGAGTCAGATCATTCATAGATCCGTCCCTGGGACTTTCAGTCGTGTGAGAGCGTGGACTTGTGGTTGAGGATTTGCCTCTTGGCGTGGCGCTAGGAGAGGCGGAGAGATTAAGCACAAGGGTGGGCGAGGGGGCGGAGTCCCGTGGCGTATCAACCACCGCCGGCTTGGAGAGAGGAACTGAAACCTCTGCCAAAGATTTAGTTGCCTCTGTCTCCGGAATTGAAACCTTCTCCTCTGCTTTTTTCTTCTCCCGGAGAACATGGGATTGTCTCCGAGCATATCTCTGACTTGGAGTACGGACGAACGAAACCGTTCTTCTCGCCCGACCTCCGGCAACGGCGTTTTGAAACTCTGTGTGCCCACTATATCTAAATCTTGATCCCATTCGGAAAAAGTTCTGTCGAGCCGAGGGTCCCTTTACTGGAGCCCGGAGCCGGAAAAACGAGTGATGCTCGACCGCACATTTCCAGAGATGCTTGCACGCCTTCTCATTTCTCAACCTACGCAGTACACGTAGATATTATTCAAAACATTCTTTTCATTATCATAATAGTTGTTTAATTCAAGACAGAGCAGGAATCAGAGCAATGAATCCTGGAGCATAGATCATGCTTATCTTGCATTTCCTGGTTTGCTGAACTTGAATAAACTTGGCTGTAATCATGAAACCTGGATAAGGTTTAGCATGAGATCAATGCTGAGTATGCCCGTAGCCAGGAATATCCCACAAAGTGCTTTATCTTTATGTTTTGACAAGTAAGTGGAACATTTCTTTCTTACAAGGCTAATACAAACTTCATTGATCCAGGTTCCAAGTTAAATTATTGACTGATTGATTGATTGGCTGATTGACTGATAGACTGATTAACTAACCTGAATACGAAGGTATGCTCCTGCTCATCCTCAACCACAACGAGGGTTAACTTCTTCTTCTTGAAGTCCAGCTTGGTGATCTTCGGCCAGAAGAAGAGACCGATCTTGGTTTCTCCCTCAAACACGAGGATTCCAGTCGGAGTCAAACCCAAACTAGAATAAATCCAAGATAAAGTTGAGCTAATGTTAGTTTAGGATGATCTATCATGTTATTAAGGTTATCTAACAAAGGATTAGGTTAATTAAAGACAGGATTATGTTGATCTAAGTAAGGAATAGGTTGATCTAACACAGGATTTTGGTGATCTAACAATAGATGAGGTTGATCTAAGACAGGGTTAAAGTGATCTAAAACGGGATTAGGTTGAACTAACATTGGAATAGGGTGATATCACATCGGCATAGGTTTTAATGACACAGGAGTAGGTTAATCTAACACAAGTTTAGGTTGGTCTAACATTGGACTAGATTGTTCTAATGAAGAATTAGGTTGATCTCTCATAGAATTAGGTTGATTAAATAAAGAGTTAGGCTTATATAACACAGGGTTAGGTCCAGCTATCGAGTGGTTAGAATAATCTAAAATACTCTTTACTATAACAAAAAGAGTTTATATGTTCTAATCTAATGGTAGAAAAATGCTTTAATATTTAAATTTTAATACGTCTAAAACATAGAACAGACTATAGTTGCTTGCATGTTTATTTCCAACCAGTTAATTAATATTTTAATTAATAAAAATTCACGCATTTATACTACGTAGTTCTCTATCAATTATAATTTGATGTAGATTTAATGTTTATTTGAACGTTTTTGATGAAAGTTAAAAACGTGAATCTGTAATTAGAGCCTTGTGTTCGTGTTTAATTGAAGCAGGACGGATTGTCACGAATCTTTATATCTCAGGTTCAGAAATTTAGGATGACTGACATTAATCAAACCATACACTTTTAGAATTATCTTATACTATTTCAACTCTACCCCCCCCCCCCTGCTTCTCTTTCTAGATAATTTGATCTTTATTTTTTTCGAGATTCAACTTTTCTGTTTAGTTGCAGTAGCCACGAATTAATGACAAATTAAATCAATCATTTGTCTATAAATTATTTAAAAATACAGATCAATCCCCTTAAATTATAATCCCAAGGGCGGATACAGGGGGGCGGGGGGACATTCACCCCCCCCCCGAATTTGGATTTTTTGTTCCTATTTTCAGAATAGCTTCTCACTAGCATTCTTAAGGGAAAGAAACCCTAGTGCAAAACAGGAAAAATACATGTCTTAATAAACTATAATGTGTGAAAAGTTAAAAATCTAGTTTTTTAGTTTTGAGTCATTAATTTTGACTCTTTTTGAGTCTTTTAAGTCAAAAAAAAATTTCGCCTGCGCGCGATTTTTTGTTCCTAATTATGAATTTTTTTGTTCCTAAAAAATCTTGCCCCACCCTCACTTAAATCCGCCCCTGTATAATCCTATATCTAATGCAACCTGATTTCGTAGATCTTTCATATTTTAGACTATATTTACTCTGCTAAACCGAATAGTCAAGTTAAACATATCAGAAGTTTACACCATCAGGCTGCAAAAATATAGGGCTAGGAAAATTAGAAGCTCTCATTTCCTTTAACCTTTTGTTAGCCTATCGACTAACTTTTGATCAATTCTATATCTTGACGATCAAATCAATCCCAGATCACTAGAAGTTAGATCAAACGAACATCCATCGATTGACGATGCGCTGATCAATAAATCTCTAGAATGTATCCAGCAAGCGATGAATATTGAGGAAGGTTTGAATAAATGATCAGAGTTCATAACAAGGAACAAGAAACTAGAACTCCATGCCAAGGTTTATCGAGAGAGAAGAGCTTGGCTCGCTCTATTCATCAAAACATTTTATCAAAGACAGAGCGAGTTTAAAATATGATACGCTGAACCTTCATATGTATTTGAATTTATTGTGCAGACAGCCAATATATCTCTTGTTTGGATTTTGTTGTAAAATTACGCGAAAAAAAAACTTTTTTCCGGACTAATAAAATGTTAAGAAAAATTTAAACCAAAAGGAAAGAAGAATGAGCTGATAATTGTTAATATATTTTTCTCATGCATCCTTCTTATATTCGCGGAAGGATTTAGTGTAGTGCGGATAAAGGAACACATGCAAGCAGATTAAAATATTGATACTAGGAAAACAGGATACTAGGATACCAGGATACCAGGATACTAGGATACCAGCATACCAGGATACCAGGATACCAGGATACCAGGATCCCAGGATACTAGGAAACCAGGATACTAGGAAAACAGGATACTAGGATACTAGGATACCAGGATACTAGGATACCAGAATACTAGAAAACCAGGATACTAGGATACTAGGATACCAGGATACTAGGATACCAAGATACTAGGAAACCAGTATACAAGGAAACCAGGATATCAGGATGCTAGGATACAATGATAATACAATAGCATGATACCAGGGTTTTTGGATACCAGGATACTAGTAAACCAAAATATCAGGATGAGTACCATAATAATATAATACCAGAATATCAGGATGCTAGATAATATAATACCAGAATATCAGGATGAGTACCATGATAATATAATACCAGAATATCAGGATGCTAGAATACCATGATAATATAATACCAGAATATCAGGATGCTAGAATACCATGATAATATAATACCAGAATATCAGGATGCTAGGATACCATGATAATATAATACCAGGATACCAGGATGAGTACCATAATAATATAATACCAGAATATCAGGATGCTAGGATACCATAATAATATAATACCAGAATATCAGGATGCTAGGTACCATGATAATATAATACCAGAATACCAGGATGCTAGGATACCATAATAATATAATACCAGAATATCAGGATGCTAGGATACCATGATAATGTAATACCAGAATATCAGGATGCTAGGATACCATGATAATATAATATCAGGATACCAGGATGCTGAGAAAACCATAATAATATAATACCAGAATATCAGGATGCTAGGATACCATGATAATATAATACCAGAATATCAGGATTCTAGGATACCATAATAATATAATACCAGGATACCAGGATGCTAGGATACCATAATAATATAATACCAGAATATCAGGATGCTAGGATACCATGATAATATAATACCAGAATATCAGGATGCTAGGATACCATGATAATATAATACCAGAATATCAGGATGAGTACCATGATAATATAATACCAGGATACCAGGATGCTAGGAAACCAGAATATAAGGATTCTAAGATACCATGATAATATTATACCGGGATACCAGGATACTAGGATACCAGTTACAGGGTACCAGGATACCAGGATGTTAGGATACCAGATACAGGGTAACAGGATACCAGGATACTAGGATACCAGATACAGGGTACCAGGATAAAAGAATACTAGGAAATAAGAAACAGGTTACCAGGGTCAAGAATACTAGGATACCAGATACAGGGTACCAGGATACTAGGATACCAGATACAGGGTACCAGGGTCAAAGATACTAAGATACCAGATACATGGTACCAGGGTACAGGATACTAAGATATCAGATAAGGTACTAGGATACCAAGTATAGGATACACCACTTAATGGATTAATGGATATACATAAAAATGAAAGCATGGGTAAAACAAGGGTTTGCTATGGATTGAATATACAATCAAAGACTAGGATAGGCTAGGCTAGGATACAAAGAAACCTATATCAAATAAATATTGAAAAAAAGTATTAGGGAATACGGAGAAAAAACATTTATACAATTTGGTGTTAATGATGATCCAAATCTGAAAGGAGTATATAAACCAGGGGCTAGGAAAAAAACATTTATATCATCTGGATTGACCCCCTTTAGTTCTTGAGATTTTTGTCTGTCATAAACAGATTTTATGAATATGGATATCAAGATAATCAAAACGCTAATGAATCATGGTTGCATGTAAATAAAAATTAAATTGATTTATATTAAACCAGTCGAAAGAATATGAACAAGAACCTATCTATCCTTTCACAGAAAGGCTCATTGTCGCCAACTATGTTGCTTTATACTTATCAAGGAATTGTAATTTTAAACTCAGATTGTAGATGTACTCAGATATGAATTTGTTTTTGCACTCAGATATTATTATACGTACTTTTACTTGTACTCCTTCGACTTTTTAATACTTATCTTAGTAACTGGTATCCGATTATTTAAATGTACTCTAATAAATAACTGTATCCACCTGTACTATAATAGGTAATATGAACTTATCTACCTTTTATGTACCTGTACCCCTTATGTGCATGTGTAATCGGTTAAATGAACTGTATCTACATGTACTTCATCATGTACAATGATATAGGTACTGTGTCTTCATGTACTTCTTACTGTACTCTGATAAAAGTACTCTACCTGTACTCTGAAGCGTCCTTGCCCAGTACAGTGTGCATATCCACTCCGTACATTTCCAGATTCTTCGCTTTGTTCAGGTATCCCAACTCCGCCTGGGCTGGACTTAATCCTCTGAACAATTAGAAATGTCGTCTTCCATATTTTATCTCTTATTATTTTTAATGAAAGACTTCAAAAAGATTATTATTTATAAGAATTATTGGAGTAATGTGTTCAAAATTAAGAAGTTTCATATTTTGGTCTTATTTAGTTATTATTCAACAATTTTTGAAAAGTCATCTTGGAAATATAAACTATGCATGTTGCAACTCATAATATTCATTAATTCATCAATCTATTCATCCTATTCATCCCATTTATCCTATTCATCCATTCTTATGTTTCTCAACTTACTTGTTTCTCCTGTAAGCTTCCGTGACATCGATTTCAAATTCTTCATTCTGGTTTGGTAGAAATCTGAACTCAGAGATAAGAGCTGGAGTATGGACATCCTCGTCATAATCTCCCAGTTCAGCTGAAACAAGGAGACATGTTCAAACTGTACTGTACTGCAGTCAGAGTATAATCCACTTTAGTACAACAAAATCGATGAATGTATGTCTTACATACATTTTTACAATTTCAAATTTAAGCTGAGATATGTATGTATCTTATATAATATGAAGTTTAATAAATAGAAATTTTACAAATAACAAAATCATAAATATTAACATTTATAGATCTTAAATTATTCCTATTAAAAATGTCCTGTTTTCAACGAAATGAAATGTCTCAACACCAAACTGTAATTGTAATTTGTACTCATTTATAGGAGTAAAGTGAATAAAAGGTTGCAAGTACAGAAATGTATGTACTTTATGTACCAAAACAATCCAGTTGGCTGACTTTTTTTGGTTTTTTAATTTATTTTAATTTATTTTGCTAAAAGTAAAATTTTTCCACTTTAAAAATCATTTAACTGTGATCAACCCCCCCCCCTCCCCCACTTACTATTTGCCCTGTTTAAAAAGAATAAGAAACGAATTGTGATTTTTACAATATTTATTCTTCAGTTGATCTACTCTCAAAGGTTAAAAAGAATTGGCTCCAAGAACCAGGTTCTGCAATCCTTCGCGAGGGGGGAGGGTAGATTCTGCAATCCTTAGCGAGGGGGAAGGGTAGATTCTGCAATCCTAAACAAGGGGGGAGGGTAGATTCTAAAATCCTAAGCGAGGATAGAATGGCAGGATATTTTGAATTGCGGTATTTAAATTAAACCTTAGAGCCGCCTAACAATGTCTACCTACCCTCGCCAGTCTTATGTCTGCCAATTCACCCTCGCTTAACCTTGTATCTGCCAATTCACCCTCGCTGAACCTTATATCTGCCAATTCACCCTCGTTGAACCTTGGTTCAAAGAATCAGTTATAATTCAGCAAATCAAACGTTGAGCAAGAACGAAGATAAATACTTGTGATGAGATATTGATCTATAATTCCAAATTCTAGGTTGTAACCAAGGAGTCTTTATATACAGGAGATATTTTGCAACCAAGGTGTATTTATAAACAGGAGATATTCAGGAACTAAGGATTATCTATAAATAGGAGGTAAGCCAGGAGATAATCAAGAATACAGGAAAATATATAAAGAATAGATATACTATCAGGATCTAAAGAGTATCTATATACAGGAGGGATATCAGGAGATAATCAGGAACCAAGCGTATCTAAAATTAGGAGAGATACTAGGAGATAATCAGGAAATAAGGAGTATCTATAAACAGGAGAGATACCAGGAGAGAAAATCAGTTACTAAGGAGTATCTATTAACAGGAGGAATACCAGGAGATAATCAGGAACTAAGGAGTGTCTGTAAACAGGAGGAATACCAGGAGATAATCAGGAACTAAGGAGTATCTATTAACAGGAGGAATACCAGGAGATAATCAGGAACTAAGGAGTATCTATAAACAGGAGAGATACCAGGAGATAATCAGGAACTAAGGAGTACCTATAAAACAGGATGGATACCAGGAGAAAATCAGGAACTAAGGAGTATCTGTAAACAGGAGGGATACCAGGAGATAATCAGGAACTAAGGAGTACCTATAAACAGGAGGAATACCAGGAGATAATCAGGAACTAAAGAGTACCTATAAACAGGAGGGATACCAGGAGATAATCAGGAACTAAGAATATCTATAAACAGGAGGGATACCAGGAGATAATCAGGAACTAAGGAGTACCTATAAAACAGGATGGATACCAGGAGATAATCAGGAATCTAGAAGTGTTCATAAACAGGGAATATTCAGGAGATATACAAGGAGAAAGTTTTTAAAAAGTTTTTAAAATCTCTGTTTGTATCTTTGTGTACCCTGAGTACTATGGGATAGTTTGTTAAGTCATGTTAATATAGTTTCATTCGCCCTAGGATAGAATACAATAGTCTTGTCAGGTTGGTTCGTGGAGAGATATCTTCTTGTGTTTAAAAATCCGTATAATTAAACATTCTTTCAAAAGAATGGCATTGAAAAAAAAAATATTTACCGCTCTACAGTCTGCACCTAAAGCCAATTAAAAAATGACTGATGTTAATCTAATGTTCATCTAATGTTCATCTCATGTTCATCTAATTGTGAAAAACTTCTTTGCGACCCAGCAAAAAATTAACAAGCATTATGAAACCCAGTTTGGCGTCATCTGTACACTGTACAGTCGAAACTAGAAAAAAAATTCTACCGTTGTTTTCATAAAATAACCTGTTCTAGCGTATGATGATATCTTAAGAATCCTTAAAAAGTAATGAAACTACATTAAGAAAACCTAGGAAAAAGGCAGAACATTTAACAAAAAATCTTTTCGCAACTAAAGAGTTCTGCTAAATTTTAGGCTTTTGGAAAACGATTAATAGAATTTTAGGTTTTAATGATTCAACTTTAATTCGAAGAATTTATTAAACTTTTCATAAAACTCTCTAGTACATGATGATTGGTAATGGAGAAGTTTCAATACAAAACATGGAGAATATCCAGTACTCTCTCCCCTCCCAGAAGAATTTTCCAGTACTCTCTCTCCAATACTCGGAGAATTTTCCAGTACTCTCTCACCACTACTCGGAGAATTTTCATTACTTTCTGCCTTACTAGGAGAATTAACATGTTTTTTCATCCCTACTCTCAGAGTTTCCAGAACCCTCTCCCCTTCCCGGAGAAATTCCAGTACTTGCACCCCTACTCGGAGAGTTTCCATTATTCTCTCGCAACCCCGGAGAAATTCCAGTACTTGCACCCCTACTCGTAGAGTTTGCATTATTTTCTCCCAACCCCGGAGAAATTCCAGTACTTGCACCCCTACTCGGAGAGTTTCCATTATTCTCTCCCAACCCCGGAGAAATTCCAATCTCAGTTTGTCCAACAACAGATATCTATCTTAATAATAAACCTGTCATGTCGTAACAATATCTTTCGAGCCATCTTGGAGGAAATCTTTTCAAATCCCCGCCCAACCCCCCTCTAACCTCTACTGGATAATTTTCATCCTTATTATCCTTTAAGAAAAGTATAACAGCTACTACACTGGAAAATGTCTACTTTAAAATGACGAAGGGGTTTTCGAAGAGTAATTAGTAATCCTTCTATATGATAAGACAAACGTCTGTATTTTTAAATTTTCATGAATTGTTTATATAATGTTTAGTTCTTATTGAATCTATATCAAAGCTGATGTCTAGTATCTACCAAGAGTTCTATTTATCAAATTAATCAAACAAAAGTTCTTATTATCCAGTATATCTACCAAGAGTTCCTATTTATCCAAATCTACAAAGAGTTCCTATTTATCCAAATCTAAAAGAGTTCCTTTCATCCAGAAAAACTGAAAAGAGTTCCCACTTGTCCAGTAAATATAACAAGAGTTTCTTAATATCCAGTAAATCTTTCAAGAGTTCCTATTTATCCAGTAAATCTATTAAGAGTTCCTATTTACCCAAAAAATCTTTTTATCCAGTAAATCTACCAAGAGTTCCTATTTACCCAAAAAATCTCTTTATCCAGTAATTCTACCAGGAGCTCCTATTTATCCAGTAAATCTACCAAGAGTTCCTATTTATCCAGTAATTCTACCAGGAGCTCTTATTTATCCAGCAAATCTATCGAGAGTTCCTATTTTTCCAGTAAACCCACCAAGTGCTCTTTTTCATCCAGAAAATCTATCAAGAGTTTCTATTTTCCTAAAATTTTCTAAAAAGAGTTCCGATTTATCCAGTAAATCTAATCTACCAAAATTTAATTACTCTCCAGTTACAATAGATCTGCAAATCGCGTCTTAAGTTCTGACAAAGGTTTTGCACTGTATTCTGTTTGGAGAAATGTTGAAATGGGTTCGTGCTGTAGAGAGGGGGTGGAGATAAATGCAAGAGCACAAGAAACCCGTCCTTCTTTCTTCAGCCCTGACATGAAATTATACAAAGACTGATCAGTCGAGATCACGATATCTTTTAATTTAGGTCATAGGTTTAATTCATTAGCAGACCCGTAAACAACAGGGGGTGTCAGGTCTAGGAACAGAGATATTTCAGCCATCCAATCCTGAGAGACTTTTAGATCCAAATCCTTTCAGGTTCAAGTTCTCATTATTACATTACAAAGGATATGTTTAGAAACGTTTAGACAGAATCAATCATGGTGTGGTTTCTTTTTAATTTTAATATTGGTTTCTCTTAAAAGTTAATGATCCCTATAGTCCATTCAAACATTGATCAGGTTTGTATTAATCCTTGATCATACTCTAACTCGAATGTTAAAAAATAAAACAATTTACGAATTTATAAATCCTAATTTAATCCGTGATAAGATTTAATCCTCGTTAATCTAATCCTTGACCATCTCGATGCATTTAATCGTTGATCAAGGTTTGCATCAAACGCTGAATCAGGTTTCTTTAATCCCAGATCCTAGTTCGTTTCAATCTCAACCCCAAGTTTGTTTCTATTTTGATCTAGTCATGATCAGTCCATATTTCAAATTTCTTATTTTACTTATTTCTTAAAACCGATGAAACCTTTTGTGTATTATGAACCTAAAATCTTTTAAAGTAACTCTATACGTAATTTTAAATTGTAATTTCACTTACATTGAAGTGCTAGTGCCGCTAATTCTACACTGATAGCGTAGGGGCACTCTAGCCGCCCGGTCAGCAGGTCTTGCTTCAGCTGCAGGAAAAACTGATATCTGAAATATTTAAGTTTTAGCAATATTTTGGATTTATGGATATTTTGTAATCGAGTGTTTTAGCCACAAACTCTGATTTTCTAATCTCTATATCTTAGCAACCCAATGTTGTAGACCTTATTTATTTCAAACCATAAATTATGTTGGTTCAAATAAACTAAGATTGAAGTATAACAAGATTTACATTCATCAGGTTGAAAAAATAAAGGAATTCGAAAATTCGAGATTCTGGCAAAGACTCAATTCCTTTATTAAATCTAGTTTTAACTTTTTTGGTTGTTTGTTTCTATTCAATAAACGTAAAAAACATTCGAAACGTAACGGCCAAGAGAATTGGGTCAGAAATAAAAATTGTAGAAATTCAATTTAAAATACTAAAAATCTGCAAAACTTTATTTTCAAACATGGAGAAATGACACCTTGATAAGCAAGAAAAAGGGAATTTATTGATAGACGACTTATATTTTGACAATTCAGTTTTATTTTTTACCTCGTAATTTCTTCTCTTAAGCAGTTAGGTTCAGAGGAGTAGAATTTGATCCTCATCCTCATTGTGTAGGGTGGGCCAACTAGACAAATATATATAGTTTAGGGTGGGCCAACTAGACAATATATATAGTGTAGGGTGGGCCAACTAGACAAATATATATAGTGTAGGGTGGGCCAACTAGACAAATATATATATAGTGTAGGGTGGGCCAACTAGACAAAT